ATTCTGGTTCTGTTGACGATGTTCTTGCCATTCTTGGCTCATGTTCTGGACGAACGTGGCCAATCCCCCAATTGTTGTGATAAGATCCTCTTCAGCATTGTTAGTCCTTCCCCGAGTGGAACCGCGATTACCTGCCATGATTCTGCACTCACAATATCACGAAATGAGCTGATCGGACTCACTGCAGGTTATTTATGACAGCAAATTCAAAGTAGGTACTCGAGTTCAAATCGGGTAAGTCAACAGTGCATCGATTCCTCATCACCATCTAGATCTAACAGTCTAATTACAACAGTCAATACCTAAATTTAACAGTTAACGTAATCCATCATCCGGCAGATAGCAAGTAGTGAATATATGTCAAACAACAAGCAAATCATTCAGCAGTTAATATCAATCGATTAAAACAAGCAACAGACAATTCAAGCAAAACAATCACCATGAACCAAAATTGCTCTGATACCAATTAGTGTAACACCCTCTCCTGTATGCATCCAAGAGAGTCGTTTGCTAATCGTTATTCGAGTTGTGGAAACAGATGAAAACTTTTTCTAAGAAAAGATCTTTGAGAAGTTGTTGTGGAAAGCTGAATCTAAGAAAATTTTTGATGGGAAGGACTTAAAATGTGTTGCTGATAAAATGGTTAAAATTTTTAGAAAACCGTATTCCTTTAAATATTAATATAAAATCGATTTTTAAAAATATTTTTGTACAGTTAGCGAAATCTGAATGAAGACGCTTGGGGCTTCGCGTGCATATAAAATAATAGTAAATCGGAGGTCATTCGCCCCTTGAAACGTAACTCATAAGTTGACCGTAAACTGTTAAAATTCAGCATTAAAGATAATTCCTTTTCGCAAGACATTTTCAGATTTTCTTAAAATAGCCGCTGTTCGTAGAAGACTTAAAGCAGAAATAAATCATAGTTTTACAGTCATCCAAAAATAATCAAGTACCACATAATACAGTCATCCCAAGCTTAAAACAGTCAACAGAGAATAAATCCAGACAGCAACAAAAATATAACCGAGTTCAACATCCAAGTCCTAAAATGCTTTTACGTTCTCCTGCAATTTCAAATATTGCAGCCCCAAAGGGGTGGGAATAAACCCAGTAGTGTGGCAACAAAACCAAATGCAACAGTATTAACTAGGCACAAAATCATAAATAGTCACTTCAAACATCTAATCCTTTTCATCATATATCATAACGCGTATATAACGCCCTTTTTCCTTTACGCTCATAGCACCGTCGTGCGCGTAGCATCACAGTGGGTATTCCTAATGACTCCCATGAAGGTGAATCCCACTGTGGAACCTATGCGGACTGAAGCCAAGTGTCCCCTCTCCTGGTACCAGGCATGCCTATATGATGCATGCTCAGTCACATGTCCTCAATACAAATATATATATATAAGATGTCATGAATCAAGTATACATGCCATGTTATGCAATCGCACCCAACAGAAAAATGTATTATGATGTAAAATGCATGTATCCTTTCATATTCTTACCATTGGCTCATCATCGTCGTAACATACATAGAACAAATGTGAGCAACACATCACAATTCCATACACTAGCCAATAGTCACAGAAGGTAATACCGCCTACACATACCTCGTACGTCACAATTAAATGTACCAGACAGCAACGTATAATCCAAAATTTACGGCTTTTGCGCACCTAATATACATTGCAACAAAATCAGAATACGTTTCAGCCTTCTCTATTAATTACCAATAATTCTCCAAGCCTAAAGGTTCATGTATCCATTCGGCCAACAATGTTATTTTCCTAAAATATTCTGACTTTCAAAACAGTCTTCCCAACATTTAACAGTGAGGGTTTCTCAAGGTTCCTAAGCATGGCAGAATCGATTTTGACATAGAAGTTACTCAAGATTTTTATTCATACAATTTCCTATTTCTATACTCAGAGATGCGAAAAAGGGAGCTTATTATTCTGCTGTCTACATAATCTTAGATGGAGTTTAGCACACAATAAGGCTGGTCCAAAACAGAATCGGTTTCATCATACAAGGCTCATAACGTTTATTCAAATATTTAGCTTAACAACACATGGAGTGTGTGAAGGGAAACTAAACAACATGCTGCATATATAAGTTAAATAAAGCTTAATTTATAACAAGTTTTATCAAGGCAGAATCGATTTCATCTCAACAAAGCATCAAGGATGATTTCTTCCAAAGCTCACGAATTCATTCAAGGATCGCTACAAGGGACCTAGGCATGCTGTCCAAATTATTTTGCTTCAAAAAAATTTAAAGGAACACCAAGCCATCATCAACAGCCCCATCATTTAACTTTAAGATCATTACCAAGTTCTGAAATTAATTCTAAGCTTTCATGCTTTCAACTAAGATCTGGGGGTTCATTATGGCGGAATCTAGAGAAAATAAATTACATAAGAAACCACTCCCTATACATGCTTCTCGGCCTGAACAGAAGACAGAGATGGAGGTTCAAAATTTTGTGCTTACCTTTCACTAGCGCACTAAGGAGACCAAATGGACAACACTTCAGCCCTTAATGATTCACGAAATAGCCAGCCCCACTCTTCAAACAGTGGTCGTGCGGATACAATAGGGAGAGGGAAATTAACTTGAGTTAGTTTATGAACGAATATCTCCTTTAAAGAAGGTGACAGAGGTTGCCACACATAAGTAACAACAAGACAAAACAATGTGTTACCTCTTGGAACAAATGGTGCACCGTCGAATGAAGAAGGCAGGGACAACGTGTGATTAAATTTTTGGTATCACTCTAAAGAGGTCCTCGGTTTCCAGTTAGGATACAAGGAAAAAGTGAAATAATTTCTTGAGTTCCCTCTGTACATATGCTTCGGTTTTGAAGTGTGAGAAGGAATGAAAATAGTAGATAGTGATGACAACTAATTTGTGTTGAAGTAGGAGGAAAGTTGTGTAATTTTGTGGTAGAGAAAGAGGGTGGTACAGTTGAGTGTCCCGAAACTCAAATTAAAGGTTTGATCTAGCTCCTTTCCTACCAAATCAGCGCATGAGAGATGGGAGGGGTGAAGTCTTAAGTGCCAATTTAAAGAAGAAATAAACCACAAATGCCCAAGCCATTCTTCTCACTTCAGCGCATGAAGGGGTGAAGGTAAGTGCAGAATTTTCCAGCCAATGGCAATACATGCACACTGCATTCCCCTTCCCTTATTGGGCGCAGGTGTTAAGGCTGAGTGGTGTTAGAAATTAGGCTAACTAAGATTGACATAAAGCTGAATTTTGATTGTCCACCCAAACAAGTTATCAGCTTGCTCCTCTGCCCAAAACAGCGCATCGTACAAGGAGATAAGAGGTGTGAGTTGGTTGCCATGTGTGATAGCCAACCAATAAAGAGTGACCTTGTGGGATGACTAGGCTAAGATAGAATAGAAATGCTATTCCCACTCGGACCAAGACATCACTTTACTTGTATAACAATTAAGGTGAAGCAGAGTCAGGAACAACAAATCCCTTTATGAAAAAAAAAGATTTATTTTGCAAGTTCGTTATTACGGGTAGTTCCTACAAAGGATCGGACTAATGACGTAGACAATACTTGAATTATCAATGTAGATGCTACATAGTTGGTTCTCATCCTTCAGAGACTACGAGTATAATAGGAGCATCCGTCGACAAAAGGATCACCCTAAGATGATCATCTCGTGACTATTGAGAACGAATCAAATCAGATGGTTCTATTTCTCAATCTTTTTCGACCTCGGTTCCGTAGGAGCAAATCATAAAGATTGAAAAAAAAATCGGTCATTCACAACCACTGATGAAGGATTCCTCGAAAAGTTAAGGATTCGTAATCCTTTTTGAAAATTCAAAATCGAATGGATTCGGTCTTATACATACGCGAGGGGGGGTCAAATGGTATAGTTCTTTTGTTGGTAAATTAGAGGATTAGAAACATGACTATTGCTTTCCAATTGGCTGTTTTTGCATTAATTGCTACTTCATTCATTTTATTGATTAGTGTACCTGTTGTATTTGCTTCTCCCGATGGTTGGTCGAGTAACAAAAATGTTCTATTTTCCGGTACATCATTATGGATTGGATTAGTCTTTTTAGTGGGTATTCTTAATTCTCTCATCTCTTGAAGATATTTGTTCTAGATCAAAAAAGAAATGACCCCCCGAATTCTTTCGGATTTTGAGGCACATTAAATTGGAATATAAGTCCCCAAAAATAAAGAAAACGAAAATAGTATTCGGGGGGTCAAACTTCTTCTATTGGAAGAATGTTATCTCATATAGTTAATAGGGTATATCGTAAAACCAAAAAAAACAATCCAAAATGGAATAAAAATAAAATAAATAGAATCAAAATAGAAAATTTGGAATATGGAATTCGAATATTCTCTGAATATTCTAAATATTCGATAAATACTATTAATAGCAGAATATTCTTAATATAAATAGAGTTACTATTTATGAAGCATTAATAGATTATATAGACTATATATCTATAATAGAAAGAATACATATAAGTTTAATTTAGAAAGAATATATAAATATAGAATTAAAATAGAATATTAATAAGAATTCTTAATATTCATTAATATTAATAGAAAAATAGACATATAGAATTGCAATTTAATAGAAACTAATATGAATCTAAAATATTCTATTTAGAATAGAAAAATTTAGATTATAAATATATATGGATATCTATATATCTTTCAACTTTATTTTGAATTTTATATAGTATCAGGCCTAGTCCTGCACAAATCTAATCGGTATATTACGTATCAAGTACTAAAAAAATGAAAATGCGGATATAGTCGAATGGTAAAATTTCTCCTTGCCAAGGAGAAGACGCGGGTTCGATTCCCGCTATCCGCCGACTCCCTTAAATTTCTGTATTTCATTCTAAAAGTATCAAAAATTGTATAACGTTGACGGTGATAGATACTATAGTTATACTATAGTACCCCCCTCTTCTTCTTGAACCCTTTTTTGTCAAAAAAAATGTTGCGGAGACGGGATTTGAACCCGTGACCTCAAGGTTATGAGCCTTGCGAGCTACCAAGTTGCTCTACCCCGCGAGAAATAGAAGAAATTTGAAATTAACGAACACGCAACGATGGAGTGCGTCCCTATACCATATCTGTACAAATAGAATATATCATTTATACAGAATGGTAAAGGGACCCCCTATAATCGCTGATTATAAAAATGACTAAAAAAATGAAGAGAATTTTTCCTCCTTACCAACTGGATCTTGTTGCACCAGGCAACAAACATGCATGAACCATTTCCCGAAGTATGTGTCCAGATAACCCAAAGTCTCGATAATTAGCTCTCGGCCTTCCGGTCGAAAAACAACGTCGATGAAGACGTGTAGGTGCACTATTACGCGGTAGTGATTCTAACTTTCCATGAATTTCCCATTTATCACTTAACGATGGAACTTTGCTTATTTCTTTTTTTGAGGATCGGCGAATCAAATGATATTTTAGTTCCAACTTTTGTCTTTTCTTTTCCCTCTGAATCAAGCTTTTCCTTGCCATAATGTTTTATTACCAATTCGTATCAATGATAGAAGTCTTATCCTAGATGTAGAAATAAAATAAGGCGGGTCTCCTACTCTATAGAAAGAAATGATATTTTTGCGGATCAAATAAAGAATTTATTAAAGAATTTATTTAACCAAATTTGCCCGATGTAGAAGCAATCAAAAACGCCGCATAAGTAAATATATAACCTACAGAAAAGTGGGCTAACCCAACCAATCTTGCTTGCACAATTGAAAGAGCCACCGGTTTATCTCTCCATCGAATCAAATTAGCCAAGGGTGTACGTTCATGAGCCCATGCTAAAGTTTCAATCAATTCCTGCCAATATCCGCGCCAGGAGATTAAGAACATAAATCCAGTAGCCCAAACAAGATGTCCAAATAAAAACATCCATGCCCAGACTGATAAACTATTCATACCAAAAGGATTATATCCATTGATAAGTTGTGAAGAATTTAACCATAGATAATCTCTTAACCATCCCATCAAATAGGTAGAAGATTCATTAAACTGTGAAACATTACCCTGCCATAGTGTAATGTGTTTCCAATGCCAATAAAAAGTAACCCATCCAATGGTATTTAACATCCAGAAAACTGCCAAATAAAATGCGTCCCATGCCGAAATATCACAAGTACCACCCCGTCCTGGACCGTCGCAAGGAAAACTATAACCAAAATCCTTTTTTTATCCGGCATTAATTTGGAACCGCGCGCATCCAAAGCACCTTTTACTAAGATCAATGTTGTTGTATGTAAACCAAGAGCAATGGCATGATGAACCAAGAAGTCTCCGGGCCCTATTGTTAAGAATAGAGAATTACTATTCTCATTAATGGCATTTAACCAACCAGGCAACCATATGCTCCGCCCAGCATTGAACGCCGGACTATTTGTTGAAGATAAAAGTACATCGAACCATGAAGTTTTACCATGAGCAGATTGTATCCATTGGGCAAATATAGGTTCGATCAAGATTTGTTTCTCTGGAGTTCCAAAAGCAAGCATGACATCATTATGCACATAAAGTCCCAAAGTATGGAACCCCAAAAAGAGGCTGGCCCAACTTAGATGGGATATGATCGCTTCTTTGTGGTCTAACATTCTTGCCAATACATTATCTTCATTCTGTTCTGGATTATAATCTCTAATAAAAAAGATAGCTCCATGAGCAAAAGCCCCTGTCATAATGAATCCTGCGATGTATTGATGATGAGTATATAACGCAGCCTGGGTAGTAAAGTCTTGCGCTATAAATGCATAAGCAGGTAAAGAGTACATGTGTTGAGCTACCAAGGAAGTAATAACCCCTAAAGAAGCTAGAGCAAGGCCTAATTGAAAATGAATTGAATTATTGATTGTGTCATAAAGACCCCTATGCCCACGTCCCAATCTACCTCCTGGAGGAATATGGGCTTCTAAAAGATCTTTTATACTATGTCCAATCCCAAAGTTAGTTCTATACATATGACCAGCAACGAGAAAAATCAATGCAATAGCTAAATGATGATGGGCAATATCGGTAAGCCATAAACTTTGTGTTTGCGGATGGAATCCCCCTAAAAGTGTTAGAATGGCGGTTCCTGCTCCTTGGGAGGTACCAAATAAATGACTACCGGAATCGGGGTTTTGAGCATAAAGATTCCATTGACCTGTAAAAAGTGGGCCTAATCCTTGGGGGTGTGGCAATACACTTAAGAAATTACAGCAATTGGACCAGAGAACGCGATTGCATTATAAAGACGCAATTGAACAGATCGAGCAAGCTCAAATTGACGTAACATACCATGAAGTTACAAAGGTTGTACCTGTGAACCAACCTCCTAGGGCGAAATAGGCGCAAGGAAAGAGTAATAGACCGGACCAACCCACAAAAACGAAACGGTCCCTCCGTAACCAGTCATCCATAATATCAAATAAATCATTTTCATCTTTGGTAAACTTACCAAGAGCTATAGTCATAGTGATCCTCCTATTCAAATCAAATACTTCAACCATTTCCAAACACCTCATAGCATTTTCAGGAATGGGATCTTCATATCATATATATATTATATTATTCATATCATATTATATATAATTATATCACTTTTTTCTCCTAGATTGTCCCTTCTTTTCTAATGGGTTTCGAATATAAAAATCATTTATTGGTTTGTCTATTGATACCTAAGTCAAATTCACGAACTCGATTCGGTTATTCCTTTCTATTTTTATCTTAAAAATCCTCTAAGCATCTAAGCAATGATGAATCATGAATTGTCTTATGACTCATAAAACGTATAAATCCATTTTTTAAAGAACTGTTCAATAAACAAATGATCCCCCTTATCGCTCTCGCTACGAGCGTATCCTCAAACATACTCCTACCCTTTCATCAAAGAATCGTCTTTGTGAAATAAAAAGAAATTAATTCTCTCTATATATTCTTATAATTTCTATGTCTAGGAAACTACTACAGGATCTTATATTTAAGCACTTTCTATTTTACATTTTTTTGTCTTCTTTATTCGATTTTACCCCTTTTCAAATTCAAAATTTCAGATTCAAAAAAAAAGATCCAGTGTTCTAATTTCATCTCTATCGAATTTAAATATCAGAATAGTAGATCTAATTATGATTCAATGGGTTAGGTCCACTTACGTTTTTTATAATCTTTACTTTTTTTTTTGAATACCGATATATCTCGATTCTTCTTTCAAATATAAATACTACTGCTGGAGTTTTTTGAAAAAAAAAGGAAGAAGCCCCTTATCGGATTTGAACCGATGACTTACGCCTTACCATGGCGTTACTCTACCACTGAGTTAAAGGGGCTACGTTTGATTCAATTCCTAAATCAGAAACTAGTCAATAGGAGTCTAGTACATAGATTTGTTACTGCATATACTTAATGATATAGTTATGTTATTTGAATTTATCTAGTGAATAATAGTATAGTTCAAAAAGGGTTTATTGATATTTGATAAATGGATTCAATTTGTCCTGTCCCTTAACCAAATTTTTATTGAAAAAAAAAAATAATTTCAATAACTTGTCGATCCCTGTCTTTCTTATCCAATTTCCAGATTGATTGTCGTTTTTTCCCGGCTTAGAGTGAAACAGGAATATACCTAATGAATCTTAACATTAAAATGAAAAATTTAAAAATCTAAATGATGAATCATTTAATTCTATGGAATTATGAAAGATGAAAATATCCTTTTGATAGAATTCTATCATTCCTTTATATTGACAATTAAAAAAAAACTGCTCATACTATGAACGTAGTCTAATGGCGATCGGGCAAGTATGCCCCCATCGTCTAGTGGTTCAGGACATCTCTCTTTCAAGGAGGCTGCGGGGATTCGACTTCCCCTGGGGGTAGAGTACTACGAAAGGAAGTTGATCATGGATTTTCAATAAAAACTGAAATTGATTCTTCCCGGGTCGATGCCCGAGCGGTCAATGGGGACGGACTGTAAATTCGTTGGCACTATGTCTACGCTGGTTCAAATCCAGTTCGGCCCAATAATTTGCCGATCCCCCATGAAACGAGATAACCCATTTTTTATCCGGAATTGACCGATGCGTTCTGATACGGACGAAAATATGAGATATCCTCGGCGCTCTTTCTTTATTACATATTTTTCCAAAAATTCGTATCTTACTAACGATCTAGATTCATATCAGGATCTGTAAATAAAAAGTCTTAAGGAAGGGATTAAAGAATAAAAAAGAATCTTTTTTATTATCATTGATTCATTTTTGAGTAGATTTGGCAATAACGAACGGATTACTCGCAATCTGTGTCGATCTCGATATCGTGCATATCCATATATTTTTTTAATTTTCTTATATATGAATATAAATAATATATTAATATGTCTGCCTCTGTCAGTTATCGCACAACAGAATTTAAATGAAGATAGAAAAAAGGGGGGTTGGATGAAATAGTAAGAATATGTGTATACTGTATACCCTTCCCAGGGATTGTAGTTCAATTGGTCAGAGCACCGCCCTGTCAAGGCGGAAGCTGCGGGTTCGAGCCCCGTCAATCCCGTTGGATACAAATCCAATAAAAAAAAAAAGACATCAATTCATTTCGTGTGTAAAATAGAATCCAAATAAAAAAAAATATATCATCCCTAACAAGGCTCCTTCTTTCTTTTTTTTTTAGGGTAAAGATTCCGACGAACAAAGAAAAAAAGGGAATTTTTTATTGCATCAGAAATAAATTTTTTTTAATATAGTATGGAGGAAATATCTTCTTAATAGCTCGGATATTGTTATTCGTGATATTGATCCGATTTGATATTGATAGCATGGAAACGTAATTTATTATACCATTGAATTTACCAACGAAAGATGTATCATCTCTATGGGATTAAATCCCGAATTCTTTATTCGAAATAAAAGAGAAATAAAACATAGAGATTATGGAAGTCAATATTCTCGCATTTATTGCTACTGCACTGTTCATTCTAGTTCCTACTGCCTTTTTACTTATAATTTATGTAAAAACGGTAAGCCAAAGTGAGTAATTTTACTTCAACACGACTTATTCATTCTTATCCATGCAATGATTGAATAAAAAAGGATTTGAATTTTGGCCTTAGTCTTAGATAAAATGATCTGACTAGAATCAACAGATTTCTATGAAATCCGGATAATATGGTAGAAAGAAATAAAATCTATTTCTTTCTACCATCTGAAATAATCAAAAAGCAACTCTTATTCTTCCAATTTGAGTTTTTATATTTCATATTTTTTTTCCACAATCATAATATCATAGAAAAAGAAATATATATATATCATATTTATGAAAAATATCTCTATCATTCGGAAGAAGTAATTGAGTAAATAGTTGAAAGACGATCGGAAGGTTCTATGAGATACTTTTTCATATTTCAGGAAGTTAAAAACCAACCCATTTTTGGACGTTTCAGCCATGATCTGCAATGAGTTCAATAAAGTGGAAATCAAATTTCGAACTAAAAAGACAAATAATAAAATAAGCGTCGATTTACTATACAAATTTTGTATCCGTTTAATAGTATAGAACTATTTTTTTTTTTTGAAAAAATAAAGAAGGGGACAAAAAAATAGAATAATACTCATATATGTGTCTATAACATATCCATTTTTTCTATAGATACATTCGGTTCATTTGATTCGCGCTCGAGCCGGATGGTGAAAAATTATCATGTCCGGTTCTTTCGGAGGATGGATCTATAAGAATTCACCTATCCCAATAACAAAAAAACCTGACTTGAATGATCCTGTATTAAGAGCTAAATTGGCTAAGGGAATGGGTCATAATTATTATGGAGAACCCGCATGGCCCAACGACCTTTTATATATTTTTCCAGTAGTAATTCTAGGTACTATTGCCTGTAATGTGGGTCTAGCGGTTCTAGAACCATCATGGGGGAACCTGCGGATCCGTTCGCAACTCCTTTGGAAATATTGCCCGAATGGTATTTCTTTCCCGTATTTCAAATACTTCGTACAGTGCCCAACAAGTTATTGGGTGTTCTTTTAATGGTTTCGGTACCCGCGGGATTATTAACAGTACCCTTTTTGGAAAATGTTAATAAATTTCAAAACCCATTTCGCCGTCCAGTAGCAACAACCGTCTTTTTGATTGGTACCGCAGTGGCTCTTTGGTTGGGTATTGGAGCAACATTACCTATTGAGAAATCTCTAACTTTAGGTCTTTTTTAAATTGAATCAATTGTGAAATAAAATGCCATGTATATTGTGTATCTAGGGAGAATTCACTTTAAGACGACTGACTAATCCCTAGATACATCTATTCCATTTTTTCACCTATTTCGAGTGTAAGGATTTGTTCTAAAGATTCCATTTCTATTCTATATTTTGATCCTTACTTTTTATAATAAAAAAGAATCAAAAAATAATTTATAATAAAAAAGAATCAAAAAATAATACAATGGAAATACAATGGATTTAAAATTTATACAAAATGTTTTTCTATTTCGAAAATATCGAATATCTTTTTTACATCTTCTGCACGAAGATCTTCCATTTTCAAAAGGTCTTCTTGACTCTTATTCAAGAGTTCTAATAATGTATTTATATTATATCTTTTAAGACAATTATAGATCCTAGGGGGCAACTCTAATTGGTCAATAAAAATGGATTTCAATGCTATTTCTTTTTTTTTTTTCCTTAGGTTAGACCTAGCCAATCTATATCTATCATAAAAAGTAAAAAGGGGTAAGGTCACTTTGTGTTGATTGTTTTCTAATTTTAAATTTTCCTCTTCCGCGTGTAAAAAAGGAATAAATAAATCAATCAAATTCCGGGAGGCTTCATAAAGTGCTTCCTTCGGAGTTAAACTTCCATTTGTCCATATTTCGAGAAAGAGTATCTCTTGTTTTTCATTCCCATTCACATAAGAATAAATACTATGATTTGCATTTCGAACAGGCATGAATACAGCATCTATAGTATAACTTCCGTCTTGAAAGTTTTTGAGTGTTTTTATACGATATCCGCGATTCCTATCAATTTTTAATCCAATATACAAATGGATTGGTTCTGTTACGTTAGCTATATGTTGTGTATTATCAACGAGTTCTACAGAAGGTGGTAAAATGATGTCTTGAGCAGTTACATACCCAGGACCCTTGAAACAAATAGACGCGTCCCGAGTTCCATACAGATGACTTTTCAATACAATTTCTTTCAAATTCATTAAAATGTCATGTACTGATTCTTGAATACCCGCTATGGTAGAATATTCATGTGGTATCTTATCAGATTTTGCACTTGTGATACACGTTCCCTCTATTTCTCCGAGCAAAACTCTTCGCATCGCAATGCCTATTGTATCGGCTTGGCCTTTCATAAGTGGAGACAGAATAAAACGTCCATAATAAAGACGCTTACTGTCTACTCTTGATTCAACACACTTCCACTGTAGTGTCCGAGTAGATACTCTTACTTTCTCTCGAACCATAGTAATATATTTCATCAACCCTTTAATTTTTGTTTTCTCTTGAATTTTAAATCTCTTCGATGTTTATTTTTAGTTTTACACACGTCTTTTTTTTGGAGATCTACATCCATTATGTGGCATAGGGGTTACATCCCTTATACAATTTAAGACTATACCACTTCTACGAATAGCTCTTAATGCCGCATCTCTTCCGAGACCGGGACCTTTTATCATGACTTCTGCTCGTTGCATGCCTTGATCCGCTACCATTCTAATAGCATTTCCTGCTGCGATTTGAGCTGCAAATGGCGTTCCCCTCCGTGTACCTTTGAATCCACAAGTACCGGCGGAAGACCAAGAAATCACCTGACCCCGAACATCTGTAACAGTCACAATGGTATTGTTGAAACTAGCTTGAACATGAATAACTCCCTTTGGTATTTTACGAGCATGCTTACGCGAACCAATACGTCCATTTTTACGCGAACCAATTTTTGGTATAGGTTTAGCCATATTTTTTATGATTTCATATTGAAATTTATACTATTTTTTTCTTTTATCTAAATTTATTTTATCTGTGCATCTGGTTAAAAAAAAAAAGTCCTCTTTTTGTGGAAATATTATCCTTGTCTTTGTTTATGTCTCGGATTTGAACAAATTACTATAACGTGTCCCCGCCTGCGTATCAATCGACATTTTTCACAAATTTTACGAGCAGAGGCCCTTATTTTCATATTTATCATTCCTTTATTTAATTGCAAATCTATTTATTGAAAGAAAATAAGGTTTATTTATTACATTTTTCCGTTTTGAATTTCGAATTGTACCCCCCCCCCCCTCGTTAAAAAAAAAACTAATAGAAGGTTCTCGTATAATTCGTATATCAGAAAAATTACCATATATAACATAAAATTTCTCCGCCGATTCTTTCTAATCTAGCCTCTCGATCTGTCATTATACCCCTAGAAGTAGAAAGGATTACAATCCCCATCCCTCCCAAAATTCTAGGAATTCGTTGATAATTCAAATAGATTCGTAGACCGGGTGTACTGATTCGTTTTAAATTTAAAATAGTTTTATATGACCCTTTCCTATTTCTTCTATATCGTAGAGTTAAAACTAAAAAATATTTGTTGCTTTCCCTATGTTTTCTGACGTTTTCAACAAAACCCTCCCGTAAAAGTATTTTCACAGTGTTTTCGGTAATGTTAGTAAATGGTATTTGAACCGTTCCTTTTTTATTCATGTCAGCATTTCGTATAGAGGTTATTATGTCAGCGATGATATCCTTACCCATGATAAACGAAAATTATGGTTGCCCTTTACTTTCCATATAATCAACATGCTCTTTTCTCTATGTTTTTTTCTTATTCCATTTTTTTTATTGGGTTTTTCTAAAATATTAAATAATATTAATATAGATATATCTATCTATCATGGTCTCGTTTTTTTATAATACTTCGGGTGCTAGTGAAACTATTTTAGTGAAATTTAACTGTCTCAATTCGCGGGCGATTGCACAAAAAATTCGAGTTCCTTTTGGATTTCCCTCTTGGTCAATAACAACCGCAGCATTATCATCATAGTGTATTATCATACCGTTACTGCGTTTGAGTTCTTTACAAGTACGTACAATTACAGCTCTGATCACTTCTGATCTTTCTAAAGACGTATTTGGTACTGCTTCCTTTACTACAGCAACAACAATATCACCAACAGAAGCATATCGTCTATTACTCGCTCCTATAATTCGAATACACATCAATTCACGGGCTCCACTATTATCCGCTACATTCAAACGGGTTTGAGGTTGAATCATATAATTTTTTGTTTTGTTCTTTCCAGTTCAAAGGTTGAAGTGACAAAAATATTTTGTGTTCAAAAAAAAAAATAAACCAACAATTCCAATTTTTTTGTTTTTATCCTAAAGACCTCTTTCCTTTGGTTCTAATTATTATCCCGAAATAATGAATTGAGTTCGTATAGGCATTTTAGATGCTGCTATTGAAATAGCTTTTCTAGCTATATTTTCTGCGACCCCGCCCATTTCATAAAGTATTTTGCCGGGTTTCACGACAGCTACCCAATATTCGGGGGATCCCTTTCCCGAACCCATACGGGTTTCGGTAGGTCTTACCGTAACAGGTTTATCTGGAAATACGCGTACCCATATTTGTCCACCCCGGCGAACATTTCGTGACATTGCTCGTCGTCCCGCTTCTATTTGCCTCGATGTTATCCAAGCGGGCTCAAGTGATTGAAGAGCATATCTTCCGAAGCAAATAAGATTACCTCGATAGGATATTCCCTTCATTCTTCCTCTATGTTGTTTACGGAATCTGGTTCTTTGGGGGTTATAGTTGATGGTTGTTTCTCAATACCATCTCTATTACAAAACCGTACATGAGATTTTCACCTCATACGGCTCCTCGCAAATATAAAGAAGCTATTCAATATATATATGTTTTAAATATATATATATATGCTTTAACCGGTAAAATCCTATACAACAAGATACATATCTTTAATTAATAATAGAATCACAGGATTTTTTGATATTTGATAATAAAATCTATTGGTCTATTAGAAGTTTTGATATATAATTTCGTATCTATTCTTATAGACAATTTTTGTTATCCGTATGGAACTGAATAATGTTGTTATCTTATAAGGTTATAACAAATCTTTTTTTTATTATCATATCGGATTGGCAAAAATTGTTAAACAAATCTAAATTTTTGCGGGCGAATCTTTACTCTTTCATTATCAATTTAAGATGTAATGTAGGGTTAGTCCACAACCTTTCAAACAAAGGATTGTTTCTTGGTTCGTTCCGCTATCCCATCTAATGAATCATTAAGATTTGTTTGAAAAAACATCCTAGGCATTCATAGTTTTCGTCGTTCCCACAGCTTCTCAATTAATGGTTAGGTCTTAATTCTAGAATGGAGTCTCTATTTAAATTTAAAAGTTTTTATTTCAATAAGATTTGAATTTTTCTGGAATCAACCTTCTCAGTTTTTATATTGACCCGGGACTCTTGATTTATTTGTTCTAGGGAAAAATTCATCTATATTATAGATGAATTCATATTTCATTTATATTGATGCTTTATTACACTACCTTTTTTGCGTAGACCTTTACATATTCGTATTTTATATCATTGATATATCTCTCTTTCTTTCACCTCATCACCTTATTTATCCATATATTTTTATTGCTTTACAACCCAGAATCAGATTCGTTTTTTTTCTTTTTTATGTTTATGAAAAATTTAAGTTGCTATAATTATATCCACTAATATATCAAATCTTTATTTATATTTTCTATTTTTACTAGTTCTTGAGATCCGGATAAAGAAAAGCGATGAGTTGGTTATTAGTTCTTTATTCATTAAATTCATATTATAGATTAGTTTTTTTGAATTTAAAGCAATCAAAAAAAAACCAACGAGTCGCACACTAAGCATAGCAATTCTATCAATATCCAATGATTTATTGAATTTTTTTATTCAATCTTATAAAATTTCTCATTTTTTTTTGTTTTATCAAAAAACACGGAACATTAAAGAGAAGGAAAAGTTAATTACCCTTTGTTTAGAAATATCCAAACTTTGATTCCTAATACCCCATAAATAGTCCGAACTGTATAGGAACAATAATCAATTTTAGCTCGAATGGTTTGTAGAGGAACCTGACCTTCTCTGATCCATTCGACACGTGCAATTTCTTTTCCGTCGATACGTCCCGCTATTTGTATTTGCACTCCTTTTGTACCTGCCTGTTCAGTTAATTCAATAGCTTTTTTCATTGCTTTACGAAACGAAACTCTATTCTTTAATTGTCCGGCTATAAATTCTGCAATAATATTAGGGTGTCTATAAGCGTTTGCAATTTTTGTAATAACAATGTTGATTTTTCGGTTCACACAATTTACTTTTTCTTGTACATTCATTTGTAATTCTTCGATTCTTCTAGGCTTACCCTCAACTAATAACTTTGGAAATCCCATATAGATTGTGACTTGAATCAGATCAATTCTTTTTTGAATCTTTATCCGTGCAATTCCCTCGACGCCGGAAGAAATTCTTGTATTTTTTTCTATAAAATTCGTGATACAATCTCGTATT